GGTGTCTACCAAATTTTTCAATTACTAGTAGTAATTTCGAATTTCATATGAACTGATCAACAATTGATGAGAAAACAATGTATCTGTTACTGTCTGTCAATGGTGGTGGTGGTAAAGAAAATTACTCGGCTCATTAGTTTAGAAAGGGTCGAAAAAAAAAAAAAAAAAACGTGAGAAAAAAAGAAGGGGATGATAGGAAAAAAGCGAACGAGAAAGGAGGTTGGATAATGGCAAAAAACAAAGAGTCGAGGTAATGAGAGGTGGAAGGGGAAGGAACAGTAGGTGTTGGATTAAAGCAAAGGGCTACTTTATAGCGCGAGCACAGAGCCGGAAGAGGAAAAGCGTCAGATTACAGGACGCAATTAGTCCAATTAATTATGACCTTCCCTTTCTCCGTCTCCCTTCCTCGCTCCAGCACCGTATACGTGTCCTTGCTCTTTTGTAGCTGTATCTGATCATGTAATGTCTCACGGGTCTCGAGCTCCCGGGTGATAGTAAGTGGCAATTTGCTGTACCCGTACAGTATTTGACGTGTGTTTGCATGCAATAATTAAAGAGCATAAGAAATCATCATTCGGTACGCTTTTAAAGGTATTTTGATAAATAATTACCATGCAAATGATAATTTTTTATGAATGACATCGTAATTGCATTCTCATCGCTGTGAAGAATACTTATCAATCTATGGTAAAGATTCGATGGTATGTGAGGAAAAAAAAAAAAAAAAAAAAGGACAACGAAAAGTGAAGCAGAAAAGAGCCAGAGTCAGACGAAATTCAAAGCAGAGCCTTTGTGGCTCTTTACGACTGTTATAGCTGCGGCGATCCTGTTGACCTGCTTGGCAAACCTGACAAGTGCAGCGATGCCGTTGCCAGACGCAGATTAAACCGAGTGGGGGGCTTGGGACGAAATTTTTCTGCCACTTACGGGACCCAAGACTAAAGTATGTTTTTTCATGAAATGGTTATTTTAATTTTTACAGTAGTGACGTAAGCTTCCTAATTATTTTTAAATTTGTTATGATCATTTTTGAATAACACCGAATACATTTGACCTTGTTTGCTTCGAGCGCAACGATATATATTTTAAACATTGACATGGTATCGCGTAAAATATTTTCGTGGAATCCAAAACTTTTTCTTCCTTTGTTCTTTGAGCATTTGTTTGAAAAAAAAAAATTGTAGTTAAATAAACGTGACAAAAATTAACTTTTTTCGATTCGTTCAAGCTATTGATGAAATTGTCCAAGATAATTTTTGTAATATAAAATGAAGCAAAATATTGACCAAAAAACTTCCAAGTTTAAAAATAGGATGTTTAAATATATTTTGATCGAAATATCAGCGTATTGTTGAAAAATCGTCGTCAACGCATTTAGTATGCCGTTTTCACAAAATTTTATAAAATCTCTCTTCTCCGATAATTTTATCAAAAATTCACATGGGAATCTTAATAAATCAACCGTATGGAAGTTGAATAAAATATTTTCATTTGGTTATCGCAGAAGAGCACAAAAACGTGTCTGTCTCCTTTCGTTACTTACCCGAGATCCAACTCCTCTGTATCAATAATAAATTGTATTTCCATTAGAGGGAGGAAGAAAGTTCCAGTTAAAATTGAAATCATCGGCAGAAAGGAACTGCGGGGGCAGTACAGTGGAGATGAAAAATTAAATATTTGAGTGGAAAGTCGCTGTTAAAGTCGTTTCCATGCAAATTACATCGAGTGTACAGTTTCTGTCTTAATAGGCATTGAGCCAAAGCGAATCCTGAAATATTTAAGCGATAGATCCATTGCTCGGAGTAAATGCGTCACGTGTCCGATCAAATAAACATACGCTCGTACACCTATGCACATTACCGTGAAAATTGTTACATTTTAAAGGGCATCGATGAAGAAAAAATACACCAACCAACAGAGATCGAGGAGGAACAAGAATTTCGGAGGTATGGTTCTCTGGTAATTCAGCTGCTCGGTAAATCAAACAGGTCCACGAGCCATTGTAATAAAGTTGCCGGCCAAGAGGAGGTGGCGGTCGCTGGAAAATTTACATTGGAGAGGGAAATACTTCATTACCAGCATCAAGTGGCTCTCCTTCTCTTAACCACCCGCTCAGCGCGAGCTTGATATACCGAATAATAAATCATTCGTCGAAGAGACAGAGTCGAGGACTGGGTAGAAAAAGAAGAGCGCGTATCCAAAAGGCAACTGGAAGTTTAGTAACTTATGTTTTTGGATGTTCGGATTTAACTCCCTGTTTTTTTTTTTTTTTTTTTTTTTTTTGTTAGGCAACAAAAACCAACAGACACCGCTACTTTAAAAATTTAAACTGCTCTTTTCCATCACACCTCCGTCTAATACCTTTACACGTGGCGTACGTAGATAACATGCCCACACGTGCTCGGCTCTGAATCATTTAGTCCACGATGAACCGACACGATGTACATTACATATTTACCACAGGCACGTATTTGCTCCGGTGAGTCGTAACGCGGAGAGTTTTTCGCTGTGGACAGAATCACAATTCGACGTTCGAGGAAGGCGGGAAGCACCAGACTACTTTTTATTTTCCCCCTACTTTTTCCTCCTTTTGTTCTTGCACTCGCTGCGTGTTGTTGGTTTATTTTTCGCAGTTTATCCTGCAGTGGGGCAGCGCGAGCCAGACTGTCGCGTGCATTGTTTTATGCGTCCCCGTAAAAGGTACACGCGAGCGTTAAAATTAACTTTTAAATTAGTCTCGTTGCGCGAGCCGAGGAATGATTATTACGTGGACGGTAAAACGAGTCGCGGAGAAGAAAAGCTAAGCTCTCGAATTTACAGCTCCAACGTAAAACTAAGTCCGGAAAATTTGAAAAGCTCCGCTTTGAATAAACGATTAATCGGTGACTTGCCCATACGATCCTCACATAAAGATACATAGGAAAATAAGAAATATCGAAGCATTGAACGTTGCCGTAAAATGACATCGGCAAGGAAATACATGTATACGTAGCCCAGGTTATATATATATGAGGTTGTAGCAGCGCTAGATGAGCGATAAAGTTGGAAATGGGCAGGGCAGCTCGGCCGATTAGCATATTTGTGTTGCGAGGGCTCGTGCACGTTGACGACGCCACGGGGAGATTAAGGATAATTGATATTAATCGAGGCCGGCTATGCGTGTACTATTATAAGCTCAGACGTGGCTGGGAGAGGGCGAGGGTCTGTTGACCCCACAAATGACTGGCGTGTGGTCTTCAGAGTACTCGAGTAACTTGACTCTCATTAAAACTGTGCAAAGGTATACTTATAAACATAGGTCATTGGGCCCTTACGGTCATCAATTGGTGAAAGCGCTGTGATCACGAACGCTGAGAGAAAACATTATTTAGAAAAAAATATTATTTTAAACAGAATTAATAAAAAAATGGAGAGAAAAAAGCACGAAGTAAAAAGATTGTACAAAAAGTATTGTCTTGCGGATGTGAGTAAAATCTATATTAAGCACACACGTATTTTAATCCTAAGTAATTTTTTGAGGTTGCAAAGTTTCTTCCTCTATTACGATATCCTTATGATGTTATGTCATAACATCGTAAGGAAATTTTATCGGCCCAGTCTCTCTCGCTCCTTTTTTTTTTTTTTTTTTAGTCCAATAAAACTCTCATAAAAAGAGGAGCCAAGCCATTACTTCCTATTGTCCTCAATTTTGTAAAATTTGCATTTCTGAAACTTCAAAGGAGTCGAAGAGGAGGTGCAGGTTACAATCACGCCACTGCCTTTGAATTTTAAAATTTGAAGTTCTCATGTATATACACAGCTGTCTCTCGGTGGCAGTAATGACCCCAAAATAAAACGATGAAAAACTCATCGCGTGTCTCGGGCTCTTAAAACTGTTCCAGAGTCACGTGAAACAAAGAGCGAGGGCTCGCCGTGAAGTTTTGCCTCCAAAAATAGCACCGACATTCAATATTCGGGAACGTAGCAACCACCCCCGCTTCGCAGCCCGTTCGGGCAATTGTTTCAAATGGTGAACCGGGGCGAATATTTATTCATAAGGTTTTCGCAAAACACAGTTCTCCCTCGAATTTTCGCCCCGGCGCTTGCGTTATAAAATTTATAGCCCCGCTCGCGTGATATTTTTCACGTCCCTACGACAGATAAGATAAATATGCATGGGAAAAATGTAATCGATTACACCCCGCACGTGCTCGCAGTTTAAAACAATACCTCATACGTATGCGCATAATCGTCCGCAATCCGAGAGAAATAAATTAGGGGCGTTCGGAGAACAAAAAAAAAAAAAAAATTGTACTCGCGCGACTGTTAAAATTGGTACCTATTGAGTACCACTGCACCATTGTACTTTACCCTCTCCAAAACCCTTGTTTCAAAAAAGAGCAACGCGTACGCACTCGAAAGAGGGAGGGTTGCGTGTGAAACTAGTCCCCGACAACAACAAGCAGTGCGTAAGACTCCTCGAGTTGATGCGACCAGAGAGAGCGGAGGAGAGTTTTAGAGGACACGAATTGTTTCGTCGCGTAGTTACGCCGCAGCGCGCCACCCGAAATTCAAGAGCGACAGACCTAGCGGCAAGGAGAGAGAGAGAAGGGGCTCCCGGAAGCCGCAATGCGGGGGACGGCTGCGCTTCCTCTCTCCCACCCCCTTACTTTGCAGGAAAAACATTTTATAGTGTACACGGGTATTTGTATGTGTGGCCTATAGCAGTGGTTCAACGTCAGAGGGTGGGGGAGGGGGCACGTGTGCTGATCTCGACTTCGCTGCGTCTTACCGTTGATGCCTCGTTTCGCGGAACATTAGGCAAACGGAATGGTTTTTCCCCCCACCCGCTCCTCCGCGCCGTTCTCGAGTGGCTTTTGAACAATCCTAGTTTCTCGCTCCAAGGGTCTTGTTGACTTTTTGCCCACTTACGTGCCTCGAACAAGCGTGCGTTTACTTTTATCCTACACCCACTACTGCAGAGGATAACAACGCGACAGGAAGATTATAAGGCGACTTACCAGTTCTCCATCCTGCACCTGTTGTCCCTCGTCTTGCAGTTGGCTTTGAAGTCGTCGTATAGCTTAACGCAAGATTTTTCTCGGTTGCAGACGCTCAAGGCGTGGTTGCACGTTGGTAGCGAATCCATCGCGTACGGATCCTTCTCTGTGAACAAAGGAATACAATTTTTAGTACATTTCTCCGAATAATATGACATTTGTTTTTTCAACGTTCAAATAATAGAGCTGCTTTGTTGATGCAATATTTAAAAAATAATACGGGCAAGACTAGTAAATCCATTGTAATGTATTGTAATTGTATTCAAGTCTATCGAAAATCCAAAAGTTTCTTTTTTCCACGTGTCGTCGCTTGTCTCACAGAATAACTTGTTATGGCTAACTATACGAGCAGTTTACTACTTAAAAGTGGTATACATGACATTGTGTTTGTTGCCGCTAATCTGTTTACTCTGGTGATAAATAAAATTAATTGATGTTGATTGTATTTCGTAACGTGGGCATTAATGTAACCATACCAGATGATGGCTGACCATATTCGATGTGTACTACTTGTAAGTAAAGTTTGTGACCTCAAATTAATTGTTTTACTAGTTGTATAAATACATTGTATACCGTGTACTAGTATCCGAATTAGTAATGACTTGACAGTCGTGGACTAGTGAATGAAGCCAGTATGTGTGTTGGCTGACTATATTCGGTGTATACTACTTACAAGGGTCTGTTTTTTAAACCAACAGTTTGAATGGTTATGTTATAGTCCAGAAGTTAATTTAAAACTTTTTCATACAAGATACTCTACTCTGTGTCCACTTTTTCCTAGACAATAGTATATAAATGAGTTTTTATTAACTTTTAAGTAAGTTAACTGCGATGAGTTCAGCTCGAATATTAAATAGTACAAAAGTGAGAAGAATCGAAGAAGAAAAAAAGCAAAGAGCATAAGAGGCGCTAACGTCCATATCTCTGGGGCAAAAGAAAAAAAGAGAAAAATTGTGTAATCGTCCTCTTGAGAGGAGAAACGAAAGCAGTAGCAAGCAGCGAAAAAAAAGGGTTGAGCACTTCTTTTCCGAAATATCGCGCTCTCAGGATGTAAATCGTCTAGGAAGGAAAGAAGTAGAGGGCACCTATACCGGATGTATTCGGCTGATCGAAATTTCATTGGCTGGAAGGAGGAAAAAGCGCAAAATATTCGGGGGGCAAAAAAAGGTACGGAAGGAAGGAGCACCACGGAGGTGCAATAAAAAGCTAGTGGGCTTTTTTTTCCTCGCTGCTCTTTTCACGCGAGGATCCAGAGGCGTCGATGCGCGATTTATCGGAGCTACGGGGAGAGCCGGGAATGGTTTATTTGCCGGGCGTCCTTTTGCATTCATACCCGTACAGCCTAGTCTCTTCACGTAGCAAAAATGTGCATCAATGCAGCGGAAGTAAGGCATTTTTAGAAAATACTTTCATTATCATTATTATTAAAATTAACGATTTATCAATTAGAGAGTTAACTTTCAATTACGAGGTTGAAAGGTTATTACTCCCACAAGCGTTGTTTCCTATGATGTGTAAAAAAAAATCTACTTCGCCATGGGGAAGAAAAACTATGTGTCCTGTAAAGGCCAATTCGATCGATGTAGGAGCAATTCCAGATCTTCATCCCCGTGTGACCCGTTACCCACTACTTCAGTCATCGCATGCATTTAGCGTGTTCACAGTGTACAGAAGTGCCTACACACCCCCCAATAAAAACGAGAAATGAGGGCGAGGTAAAAAATTCGAAATCGATCATCTAGAGCGCACGACTATTTTTTTAAAAAGACTATTAAAAAGTGTTTTAAAATATTTTTCATGTCCCTTGACAAAATAAAAACATGATACATGTTAATGATTTACTCATTTCGTTAAGTAATGCTTGCTGTAGGACGGTATATATATTTTTCTGAGTCGCTAGTTTCAGAAAAAAAAAAATTAATTGATACCTGAACTTTGAAAAAATAAAATAAAATAAAAGGTAAAATAAGTGGAAACTCAAATGAGTACGACTTATTATCTACAAAAAAAATTTTTGTTTGAATTCGCTAAAAAATTAACATAAATACTAATGAACTTACAAGCTTTACAGTTACTTAGGAGCCACAATGTAAGCTTTCAAATGGAATATTTTCAATACTCGGCTGAAGTTTCATGATGTACGAAAATAACAGTGTTATTTACTTTTAGCACTGTAAAAAAACATTCAGCCCAACAAGTCCCCCGGGACATCCTTTTTTTTTCTTCCACGTGTGAGGGTACATCCGACGAGACCTCAAGAGAATAGTCTTTTTTTTTTACACTAGAGAAAAAAAAATAAAGGGGAGGAAAACAGCAGCAGCTAAGCTGGAAAGGAGAGGCTGAGGTATCGGGAATCATCCGCGAGTCGTGACGAGCAAAGCCCTTGGGAAGACGAACAATGGAACGGCGGCTGGAGAAGAAGGAGGAAAGACACAAAAGCGGAGGAGAAGCTCCACATGAGGAGATACGACTCCATGTCACAGATACGGCACGTCTTTTGTTTCGGAGCCAAGTTAAATACTTCTCTTGCAGGTCAGAGGCGATGCGACAATTTTTATTGGGGGGAAGGGGGGGGACTTATTTCAGCTGTAAATACCCAAGAGGTGTGATGATGTCTACGTTGTGAAATTGGCGCAGTTAAATATACCCGTCCGACCTCGACTAAGAAGTGCCGTGGACTTTGACAAAGATCTCATGGTGTAGGCATGAGCAAAAGGACAGCTCATAAACACCCACACATTGGATCGAGTAATAGCTGCTGCCACTCAATGGCGCGTTAATTGCACGTGACGAGAGACGAGCCAATAAACGCTATACGTGAATCGCAAGCTACGCAACTGACTCTCGCTCGCTACCCAGCCCTTAATGGATATTTCGTGTAAGCTGATTGACGTTTTCTATTTATCTTCCTGATTCAGTTCGTTTTTCTTTTTCTCATAAGCATCACTTACCCTTTTTTATGACGTAGATGCAGGGGTGGTCGAAGAGGAAGTCCCGGAAGCTGTTGCACTCGGCGTCCTCGCGCGGCTCCTTGCAGAGGCAGGTCGGCTTGAAGAAGTCGAACGCCTGGAGGCTCCTTAGGGCGGTCTGGCACTTTGTCACCGTCACCGTCGAACACGCCACTGCGAACAAACGATGGCCAAACGTTACTTTGACGCAAATAATCATCAAGAATGATTTTTTTTTTCCTCGGAATTAGCTTTTTTTAATTTTGTTAAGTTCTAAAGAGTAATTGCACAAAAGAAAGTAGGGAAATTCATTTCAAGCACAATCAGTTGGGATTAATTGTGTAAGCGAATCGCAGGGAGGCCTACTTATTCTGCTATTTTGGCCTTTAATATTACAGAACTTTCAAGAAATGGAGAGTTGAAGGGGAAGGAAAAACATAAAGGGCTTTTTGAGTCCCTCCCTCGTTTAGTCTCGCAATTGTATCAGTGATGAAAAGGAAAAAAGTGAAAAGAATAAAAAGGCAAAAATTTCTGATTCCGCTATAGTTTACATGAAAAGGAAGAAGAGGAGGATCAAACGAAAAATATAATAGTCGCTTATCCCTTTCTTTCTCTGTTTCGGATTAAAAGCAACAGCTTCAGAGTAAAATGTTTCCGTATGGATTACCTTTAAATGGAAATTCATGTTTGAGCGCCAGAAAAGTTCTTCTGCAAGTGCGTATTAAAAATTCATCCGGAAAATTTTGCAAGACTCTGATCTTAAAAAAACCTTTTTAATTTGAGGATGGTGAGCGCCAACTGAAGCCTTTTTCAGAAACAAATTGAAGTTTAATTTTTAATTTCAGAAGAAAAAGTGGTATTTAAAATCTTTTTCTTCTTATTCGAGGATTTCGTACTTTTGAGATATTTTTTTCAAAATTTGGACAAGAGATTTGCACACGATTTTCAAATTAAACATTTAATCTCATAAAGTTTTGAGATTAAGCTCACATAAGCATAAATAACTGTATGGTAATATCGTTTGCTAAGGTCAACTTAACTCTTCAAAAATAAAAAAAAGTAAAAATTATGAATCACTCAATACTTCCTTTTTACAGAAAAATACTGCAAAAGATAAAAAAATAAAATTTCTAAGACTCTATTGTAGAACTGATGATAAGTACGATACAACTGATTTAAAAAATTTTTGAGCTCATGAAAATGAAAGCGAAAAAAACGTGTAATCATTCTGCTAAGCACCCTAAGAGGTGATACAAGTTTAATTAAACGGTGTTAATACTAATAACTTATTTATACTCCAATCAGGCCTCACAGTTAAACAGAGAATCCATTACGATCTCGACCAGCCTATCAAATCACGTGTGACAGTAAAACCACGTTCACCGACACAACCACGTGAAACCGATGTACGATAAGCCATTCACAGCACAGCGTACGTGTCCCATCGAGAAGAGACGCAGCTCCGTATGGCTCAGGTGCCCCGCCAAGCTCGTTTTGGTTGGGGGCGAGGAAAATGTGGGGTAGTCGAAATGATGAATACAGATCCCGAGCGTCCGATAACCCGCCACCTATGCCTCCACAGTCGTTTCCGTGTATTTCCGCGCCTTTGGCTTGCAGCCGCACATTGACGTGCTCGTGCTATCTATGGCCACGTATGGACGCGCATCCCCTAAATGGACCCTGTGGCGTGTGTACGTAATGTACGTGGACGATATCCATACGTCGATCTTCGTCTCGTTTGCCATCCCTTCCTCCCTCGTCTCGATGGTCAGCGCTTATCGATGCATCCATTTCGTTACTTCCATCACGAGTTTTTTCGAAACTTTTTTTCCTCCTATCTTAATTTTTCATCTTGTGTTATGAAATGCGACGTGCACTCTTTCTAAAATATCCATTGAGAACATTAATTTTTAAATTAAAAAGCCGTTTCTGTCTAATAAACTTGAAATGAATGAAACGCGTACATAATAAAAAAAAATTAAAATCCGAAATTTTCAGACAACTGATATAAAAGTCGCAGCGGTTGGAAAAGCCAGAGAGGCAAGATAGCATCTATAGCGATGCAGTATAACAAGAAATCCCAGTCCCTCCGACGCCAACGAATCAAAGATCGACGACAAGCGATTGGACCGACGGCGACGTCTGACCACAGATTGATTACACTACTGTGGCCTGCCAGTCTTGAGCAAAAGGACAGGTGACGACGGACCGTCTCCCCTCGACTAATTAATCGTCACGGGAGGATGAGACGACCTACACCTCGTTTTCATTTTTTTTTTTTTTTTTTTTTTTTTTTTTTGTGCACACGATTGATTTTTTTCCCCCTTAGAGACACGTTGATTAGAGTGAGTGTCTACACGTATAGGTACTTGCGGGCTCTTCCTGTACGAGTGACACCATCGACAGCAGCAGCCGAGAGAGCATCACTGGGCTTATACCATTACATTTACTCTATAGAACTGATCATTAGTGGCTCCTTCCATCTCTTCTCTGTTTCTCTGCTGTAATTCGCGCACCACAAAATCATGAAACCAATGAGCCATGAAATACTCGCTCTATTAGTTTGCGATATCGTGTTGCAATTGTATGTTTTCCTCATGGATGCTGTTGCACGTACTGTTATTTATCCATATTCAATTATCTGCATTGATATCAACGTCGAGTGACTATATTGATTTATTATCCTCGTGTACATAGAATCCTAATATTTGATCATTATACGGTGACTGATGATGGTGGTAATAATGATAATTAGGATGCACAAATATGGGCTCATTCAAACTGGGAAGGATTTACGTTTTTTCTTTTGCGACCAGATCAACATCCGTATGTAAATGTAACACACCATGAGATAAACATTTGTTACTAGTGTCTGACGTTGTATTTTATTAGGTACCCATAAAGATATTCGGAAAAGATATAAAGATATTAGGTTTTCGCAAAAGTTTTAGAGTAGAAATGAAATGTTTTCCAAATAGTACAAAATTATTACAGAAATTGAGGAACAAAGTGAGGATTTGAGAGGAATCGGCAAAAACTTCAAAGGTAAACTTGGCGGCCATAAAACTGTGGCTAGGACGCGGCGAAGGCCCCGTGCCAAGAGAAATATTTGACTTTTAGCTAATCTCCACAATGCCTCAGTCGATGGGTGCAGTGGGTGACGTAATGTCATTCATTAAATTTCTTACACCAACTACTCTGATGCATGAATATCATTCGCCAGAGCAGCAATAAGTTTTTGCCTTTTTAGGGTAAGGAGAAACTACTGCCAAGAACGTACCAAGTTTTTCGGATGGGGACGGAAGTACTTGGAGTCGCCCTGAAATTTTAAGATCCACAAAGTTTCTCTGAGATGAAATTGAGGTTTAAATAAATATTAGCGTTTTTCCAGCCATGTAGTAAGGGTATTTTTCGAGGTTCGTAACTCCTCGACTTCGTAAAAAAAAAAAAAAAAAAATCAATTTGGTATGAACTTGGTGCTACTCACAGGCTGTGATATGAAAAAGGGGGTCATAACAGCAACAAAAAAAATTAAAAATAAATTGAATACATACTTAAAATTGTTTATTTATGAGTATATAATTTTTTCTGTGATGCTCGACAGTGACCACCAACGACGACCTAAAATTAAAGTTACCCACATTGAACGAAAGTTATTCGCCAGTTTACCCCCAGATCATCGGGAATAATTTACAGAATCGACCCAATTAGCGGGGCTTGGGGTATTTATATCCATCCCGGGATGAGGAGGCGAAATTAGCTGGTACCGGAGGGGGAGGAGAGACTAACGAGGGAACAAACGTATCGATTGCAGTGCTCCCAGCCACTGTGGCTCTAAACTTGGGTCTGCGAGCACCTGTAACATCTATACGTCTACCCTCGAGGATGGTTGTACCTATACATGTACATGTGCCTGCCGGGAATTTCCTATTGTGCAGTTGAGGAGGAGGAGGGGATGGGGGGACTAGGCGTGCCTTCTTTCTTTCACGTAATTAACGAGCGCTTTGGCAGCGACGCAGACAGAGGGAATTTTTAAAAAGTCGATTTACCAAAGNGAGGAGGAGGGGATGGGGGACTAGGCGTGCCTTCTTTCTTTCACGTAATTAACGAGCGCTTTGGCAGCGACGCAGACAGAGGGAATTTTTAAAAAGTCGATTTACCAAAGTTTCGTACATCGGTGTGTTTTCATGGTGTGGATGAAGGGAAGAGAATTGCCTGTGGATATATATTTTTTTTTTAATTTAAACATGTGGTTACAGCTCGTGCACATGTTGATAAAAGTTTTAACTAAAATTCAATCTCCATCATAAATTATATTTTTGTAAAGCAAAATTGAAAGTTGCTGCAGACAACAATTATTAAAATAGCCTTGGAAACAGCAGGAGACAAATAATTTTCAACAATAACGTCTACAGGATCTCTCGTTATTTTTCTCTAACATGCAGTGCGTAATTTAAGAAAAAATGTCCCCCTTGAAATTTAATGAACCCTGACTTTCGTGTCCAGCGAAAAAAAAAAAAATAAAAAAAATGAAAATAAAAAAATAAACAGCTTTGCGCGGCTCACAAACCGCAAGACTGATTTAGAGGCCAATAAGGCGGTCCAATAAACAACACGAAAAAACACTTCCCATATACCGTGTAGCCGTAACAGTGAAGGCAACTTTCTACAATGGAAAAAAAAAAAAAAAAAAAAAAAAAAAGAAGACACGCGCGAGGCCAGCCTCTTGTACCCTCAGCACTCGAGTTTTCTCCTCCCCTCCACCACCTGCTCTTCTCGTGACTCTCTGTTGTCTCGGGGCATCAAGTGCAGAGGGAAGGAGGACACACAGCCGCGACCGTACCTCCACTCGAGCGGCCGACGCTCCGCTTTTTCTCGGGGCACGACCACACACGTACCCCTACACCTGCAGTCGGTGGATCCATCCACACGATCCGTCGTCACTGACGTGATCTTTTCACCCTTTGAGCTCCATCTTGCGAGTTTCCAGCATTTAGTCTTTTATGTTAAAAGTGAAGCTTCCTTTGACGAGCATGCGCTCGGCTGTTTTTTCTCAGAAAAATAAGTTCTTATATTCTCATTTTTATTCACACTTTCATTAACGCAATGCACACGTTCAATGTCTACACCTAAGCTAGTCCATGTTAAATTGTTTATAAATATACGAGGGTCAAAGGTCAAAGCGATTCTTTTTGCTCTTCTGCAAAAACTGCAACTCTGATCACGTGTGTGCTTTTCTACCGATGACGACGAAAAATCACATAACTCATGTGTTGTTGCGTTTTTGTGACTTCCCAAATCAATGGCGTAGTGGTAGTACCTACTTTTTTTATCGTCCATACATATCGTTGATGAATTTCATCAATAAAAATATAGGCCAGTTGTATAAAAAATAAGTTTTTCCGATTCAAATATTAATCTAACTTCGATCGAACGGTTCTAAAAATCATTCGTGAGTTGTAACCGAAAAAAGTGGTCGGTACCCTTCGTGTGTATACGAGTGTACGGCGATGAAAATTCGGCCGCGAAGATCAATAATGCAACGTGAGGCCTCTCGAGTAATGTGCTCTATCCTCTGCTTCTTTAAAACTTTTCAGGTGGATGGGTTGCTTCGAAATTCTCCAAATTTAATTTTCTTTCTGCCGTTCTCCGTTAGCTAAGTTTCGAGGAATCGCTAAGAACATTCCCTCCGTTAACTTTCAAACGGATGTTCTCTGCAGTGGAAAAAAAAGAGTCAGGGCAACAAGTCTACGTACGCCACACGCTGAGTTTTTTCGCGAAATATATTATTTCTGCCCGAAGCTTCTTTGCAGTTACACAAATTTGTCTGGCGTGATTAAATGGTGTACGAGTGCTGATTCGAAATAATGTGCTGATGAACAATGGGGTATTGAAAAATGTACGTTGGGCACAAAAAAATCAGCGAGCCCATGTGGAAATAAAACACTGATTGAAAAATGGAGTAGCCAAACGAGATTCCATATTCCAGAGCTCGAAAGGGTTTATGGGTATACGACACGCGTCACATGGAGATCGATCCTGATTTTGATGGATCGCTGGAAAATATGCTTCTACAATTTTTTTTTTTTTTTTACTACATGCACTTCTGCAGGTAAAAAGCGCTCCTATCTATCAAAGAATTGAAAAGCTCAGCGTGAAAATGTGTCAGAAGTGATTTGTCGATACATAAGAGAGACTGACCGCTGATTGATACGCACGTGCTCATATGTGAACCAAACGGAGCTTTTTGCTGATCTACGCCCAAAGTTCAGATGACGAAGGAGTCACTGTTGAAGAAAAATGTTGTTTAAGCAGTACCATCGTGATGGAAACAGAAATTCAGGAATAATTTGGGTCACGCCATTTTTACAAAAAAAACACGATTAATTTGGTGACTTTAAAGGATACTTCCTTTTTTTTAAATAATAATATGTGTGCACGTGTAAAATAAGATGATCAGTTGAGTGTAAGCAAAACATAAATAAGAAGCTCAGCATCTCTGGATACAAGAAAGAGCAGCTCAGTTGAAAAGAGCTAAGCATATGTTTTTCTCCCTTCCTTTTTTAGTTCTGGTTGGCAGATAAAGGACTAAGGAAGGAAGGAAGCAAATAAACGGGTAATTCTTCCGCGATAAAAGCCCCCGTCCACGTGAACTCCTAAATGCTTCCTCTCCTTCTTGTGTAACGTATCCACGTATAGTATATATGTCTGTAGACATATGTGCTGCTGTTGGCTTATACGACCCGAGTCAAACTGTCAGTTGCAGAGGACATGGATGCCGACCTAAAAATTGTATATATCTACGGAAGGAGGGCGAATAAGTGCAGTTGGCAGATGCTCAGATGCTGCTGTTGCATGTAGGTATATAGTCACAGCGAGAAAGACCGACTGATTGTCAAACTTTGCGAAAATATCACTGTACTACTATTATATTTACGTTTTTATGGTTGCTATTATCGACTGTTCGAGACGAATCGAAGTTGTTCCCTGTATTTCATTGAGTCGCGCTGAAAAAAATATTTACGCACTGCAGCAAAAAGTAACCAAAACCCAATCATGATGTACAAATGAAATAAAAAATTTCCAGTTCTCGTGGAAGAGAAGCAGCAGTTGTGTAGTCGGACGGACGTCGTTTTTACCGGAGAATTCACGGGCCGGTTGTCACGGTCGCGGAAGAGGACGAGCCACGAAATGGGCTCCGAATGTGATCGACGAAGGAGATTGTGTAGGGCCGGGGTTGGGAGGAGCCGGTGAAGTGGACGGACTCGGGGATTTCGAGGTACGGCAGAGCCAGAGTGGCTCAAGTGCTTGAGTGCGCTAACGGGAAATTTCCAAGGATATTTCATCCATCTCCCCATTTCTTTCTCGTACCATCGAGGCGATTGCTTTCACTTTTTACGTGTACTTGGATCTATACTTTTTTTCCTTTTTCATGATAAATACATTGTTATTTTGTTCTAGAGTCTACACAGAAGCACGTTTTTTAGCAATTTTCCAACTATTTTATGGAGTTTAAATTTTGAATGTAAAATCCACCCATCTAGCTGGTATTGAAGAAATTTGAGAAAATTTTCTCACTCTCTCTTTCTTCAAATTATTTATTTTCGTTAGTAATAATTTTATTATACTCCTGCTTACTACTTCTAAAGTTTTTATTCATTATCATCATAAAATTTTTATTGTAATGCTATAAGTTAATTTTACTTTTTTTTTATTATTTATGAACTTAATGATACTTTTATACTTCATTCGCGTATACACTGTGCACTGGCTAATCTAAACCTTGCATCCCCAGCTAATAAATAAAGAATCTGCTCTAATATTATGTATAACCCCTCCTTCTTTCCAACAGATACTTTTTCGTATACGCGAAACTGTTTCAACCAGAATCCTCATCTCCAATAAGCATACAAATTTTTTACTAGTAACCACAGGATGGTTGAGCCAAAAAATTTCATTGTGGTATTATTTTTTCGTCCACCCACCAACATTATCTTAACCCAAAGGTTTTTAACTCAAAATCTTTTCCCTAATAATTTGTTCCGTTAATTGTATGTCCCAACAAAACCACTGTTTTTGCTCCACGAGTATACATTTAATTGCCTTTATATTTTGTGATTAAAGGAAAGAGCAAGATTTGGGATTGTTGTTTTTCCGTCCACCGACGGTAATAAGGTAAAGAGGAAGCATGGATTTACAATTTTACGAGACGCATCGGTAATGCCATCCACGTTAAACTAAATTAAAAAGTAGAGCCGGTAAGAAGCAGCTTTTTGTTTGGACAGTCTAACTCTGGCGATGGCGTGTACTCTGAAAATACACTTAAAGAGTAAGGGCCAAGCCAGAGTCGAAGGTAAAAAAGGGAGAGACGCTGAGCAGGGAGAAGAAACATTATTCCGTCAAAGGGAGACTGGAATGCGGCAGCTTTTACGAGTCCCGCGGGAGGTCAAAGACCTTCTTGCTCGAAATTTCGAGCGATTTAAGGGGGAGGAGAGGCACGGGAGGAACGTCAGATTTTCGGGGTAACGAGAAATTTAGCCCTGCGCCATCGAATTTCCCACAGGATTTGCCAACGAAACGACTAGCCTTGTTTAAAATGGACCAGTAGCTATAGTTGTCTCTTCTATTTTTTTTTCTTTTTTTATTTTTTAACCACGAGCATGGGGATGCTTGAAAAATTGAAGCTCTCCTGAAAAATTAAAGTTTTCAATTCTCACGTAAAGGTTTTCCAGCTTTCAACCAGTTAACTTGGAATCGCGATTTTGTTCTGTTTGAATTCTGATTCACTCGAATATTTGCAGTAAAAAACTTGTTTCAGTGAAAGATCAGTCAGTTTAATTGAAATAACCAGCGTTCAAAATAAGAAGAATTAATATCTACATATGTAATAGAATATATTCATTGTATCACTAACAGTTAACCAACTGCAAGTGCGGGTTGGCGTAACAGAGTCGGTTGGGTGTTTAAGATTCGGATGCCTCGAATTCGAAGCACGACCTTCGCAACTCACTATTGCTATGAATACTGATCTCAGACTTTTCAGGCAAACAATATATAAAAGCTCAGGAAAGTGACTGACGTTAAAATGTTACATGCCAAATAGATAAAATTTCGTCTTTGGGTTGTTCCTTCCAAACACACTACAAACTTTTTTTTATCAATCTCTAATATGAAAACTAGTGGTTGAGGATACTCAAGCAATCAACTGATAAATTACCGATGACGCGGTTGAAAAAGAAAAACGGAACACAATTATATTGGACAGGCATGTCAATTTTTACACTTTCTTTCATGCATGCACAAGAAAACAAGAAAGTTATAGTACTTACCTAATTCGGGTCCACACACGCGGGGTATGACTGAAAACAAAAATTTTTTAACCATGAAACTAACATCAGACAACGATTTAAAATTTTGGTTGCTTATATTTATCAAATATTGCTACCTTTGGTGAATATTTTTACCGAAACAAGTCTTGAACAAAAATATTTACAGAAAATTCAGTCACGATGGTCTTACTCTACAGATATAAGTAAGCGAATCGGAAATTTTTTCCAAAGACGTATTTATTTGGCTTTTAAGAATAATATCTAAACATGAATTATACCTTTAAGGATGGCGCTGCAATTTTGATGCTCGAAACACAGTTTCCTCGCAAACAGGCAGTTCATGACGATTTTTCGTCCTCCTCCTGAAACCAGAAAATAAATACTAGTATTAACTCGTTACTTGTATGATTAACAAATTAAATAAAGTTACAAGATAAGCCAATTTGAGTTATGAATATGTGAACGTCGAAGCGGCCATCGTCAAACGAATAAACTTTGGCCATTAGAGGCGCGTACATCAGAGATACGTTAATGCATGTAAATACGCCCATCAAAAAGTACAGCTGCCGGTCAATGAAAATCATGATATCTACAGCTCAATCAACGCAATGCGAGACTCACCCCCTTTTTCAATACCTCGCGATTTACTGGTCAACTCCATAATTTATTGAAATGAAAGAGTGACATGTGCGCGATGTATTAACCCTTTGAATGAACGACAGCCTTTCCACAAATGATATCACTGAATTGTCATTTTTGATGAAATGATGACGCCACAGGTTTCGAGTTACAATCGGAATTTATCCTGCACGGATTTGCCTCATCAATCATCGGTAGTAAAAATTCATATTGTATAATGGGTCAGTTTTAAATTAAGTGATGAAACGAAACAAAAAAAACTAGGGGTAATAAAAATAATAATGGTAGCTAATAGAGACGAAATAAAATCGAGGTCAAAATTACTCAAGTAGAGATAACACCACTTGTGTACATGTTGTCATTGCCACCAAGTGAGGGATGGACGGGGGAAGCTCCAAACTCCTCGAAACTACTCATAATAATCGTCGAGTGGAACTGAAGAGGTACTCTTGTCCAAGGGCGTAGTACATAACATATAGGCGTGAATTTTCACGCAATTCTGTGGTTGAAGGGACAATTAACCAATGATTGACCAATAATCATCGCTCGCACGTGTAAAGTGGACAATTAATTACACGTCACACCTATCCCCGTCGAACTATCCTCTCTCTTTGGATTTCCATCCCTTGGCAGCACGAAAAACGTGCAAAAAGAGACTCCATATACGCATAGCTTCACGGTATGCTCGATTGGCCTTAAACGGTGTGGCTCGCCAAGAGCTTCCCTCCATTGAAATCACCCGGATATCTCTCTCTCTCACTTTTTCCTTTCCTTTTTCCTCTCTTTTTCCTTTTTTTCCTTTTTTTTTATTTTTTTTCTGCTGCCCGTGGCCATTAGAATCGTTAAGTCGGGAAATGGCTTTTTCTCGAGCAACGAGATCGATGTGGCTCTCGGCCGATAATCGCTGCGGTACGCCGTGCAATGACACCTTCCCCATTTGATATCTTGGTTTTTTTTCTGTTTTATGTTTTAATTTTTCAATAAAAACCTCGATGTTACACTTAATATGATTTTTAAGTATTTTCAGAAAAAATTATAGATAGCAAGGAATTATCTGAGAACACAGCGTCACAATTGTTTTATATTGCACGGTAATGGAGGAAAAAACTTATTGCGCCCTGCAGAGTCGCAGAGCGGAAATGGTTGTAACAAAAAAACAAACAAAGCGAAACACCAATCCATGTGGGTACCCAAATATATTCAATATTGATTGGCAGTAGCATTTGCATGCTTATACCTACATCCCCGTGCAATTGCACCTTGGCTCTCACGTGTCTCTATTGATTTTCACTTTTCCCGCGAATACGTAATATGTACGAGGCTGTTCCCTAATACCATCCCATATCCCTTGCCCAAAGTGATAAGGCTGTTTGTATGCCGCTCGTAACATATTATCGATCTATTTTCCGTCTTTCATAACTCTTTCGTAGAACCAGATGCGCCATGGCGGAGGAGCGTGTGATTGCTCTTGGATGTGCGGTCGAAAATGCATGCGATAAATTGTATTTCAGCCAACATTTATCTCGGAGAATCGAATATTCATTTCAGACTCCGATAAAGTGGAATAAGCGATGATCTTTGAAAAGCTTGTAATGGAAATTTTATCCATCGGATGAGCTTGTACGTGGGAGAGATAGTACATGTCCGCGATGCAGCAAATCGTAGGACACGAGAGAATTTCGAAAGCTACTCTGCCGCCCCTCGTATCCCCCCTTTGTCGCTATTTTTGGTTGACCTTTGCCCAGCTCATCTGACCCCTCGAGCACCAATAAACTAGGACGCGTCTTTCAGCGTGTGTTCGTGTGGCTCAATTAGTGGAACCGTAACTGTGGTAGGATATCCGTAAATATTTGAAAAAAGGGCGGTGGAATCACTTAAAAGTTTAAAGATAAATAATTCAATGATTAACTACGTTGCAAATTCCCTTGAATCAGTGATACTTTTTCCATTGATTTATTTAATATTTAAGAGTAAAGGAATAAAAAGTCCAACAAATGGTTTAGCTTTTGTGGGATTTCATCATCTTCTTCAAAGTATCATATATGCTGCTGTTGTTTTCCCTTTTCGTTCCTACCTACATTTTTATTGCTACTCGGCATTACCTCGCATCATTTTTCAAAAAGCAAGTTAGAAGCAACGTGGGAAACGAGTTAAACAATGTGCTTTCGATATCAAAATGAATGTACCTATTCTCATCAAGTGAAGAAAACAATTAAGTATGAAATAAAAAAGTGGATTAACAACTGAAGTCAATCGCAAAAACTTGTTCCTCGAACTTTGCTATAAGAAACGTTAAGCTACATTAACAGCTAAATAATCTAGAGCAGAGGTCTTGGGAGGCCAGCTAGTTTCGATGATAGTATTTCTCACTTACCAGCAAAGAGAGACGAGGAAGTGTTCGATAAAGAGACCGAGAAAGGAGATGGAGAAGCGCGAGGGTAATCCGATTCCACGGGGGACCCGGTAAAAGGGCGTCCTCGAGAGGTAACCCAATAGGACGGGCGAATCATCCTCAAAGCACCGGACTCGCTGCTCTCCCGACACGTATTTTACGCTCGACTCTTCTTTCCATCCTTTTTTTTTTTTTTAACTTTCCATCCATTCTTGCTTGGATTCGTCGTAATAGTACATGTATACGCTTCAGAAAGCGGTAATTCAAGTTTACCTCGAGTGAAACGGCAGAGATTGATATTTTTGTTGATTTTGTTGTCTTGCTTGAGTCCCTCAAAAACAAATTTAATTTTGGAACGAGTTAGGGGGTATTACTCGAAGAAATTGTACATTAGCAGTTGAAAAAAGCTTTATTCTAAATTTGAAAATAAAACAATACCGATGCAATGTTCATTTACAGCGCTTAAGAAGGATACTAAACATACAAGTGGTACATAACAATAGAATTATTAGCTAACTATTGTTAATAACATTCTAAAATTTGTAACTTGGTACAACATCGAACTCCCTTTTTTTAATTTTTTTTCCGTGTAAATCCCAAAATATCATATGTACACGTAGATCCAGGCATGATTACATAATTGCCAGATAAAGGGGAGATAAATGTACTTTAGAAAATCAAAAAGCGGTAAACAGCAATGAGAAGTGAAGTTCCGGAGAATCATGAGAAGCATCATTCGCGAGAGAGATAAAGGAAAAAAAGGGAGTAAAGATAAGCAGCCCCAGCAATTCTGTCTCTATTGGTATTTATAAGCTATGTCAGCCCTGCCAATAGCCGGTTTCTCAGTTGCTCCGATTTCATCCCCTTTCCACAAGGAAAAGGAGAAAAAGGAAAAAAAAAGAGCAAGTTAAGGGTATACCGGGAGAGCACAGCAAGCTAATAAAAACAACGGAAACTTTTCCCTTCCTCCGATACTCTTCGTTGACTTTTTTCCGCTACCACTGCTTCTGGCTCCTTGATCACCCCCTGCCCCCTACACTTTTCCAGTTTCTTTTGTGAAAAAAAATGGATCACCCCCTCATCCTTCCTTACCATTGTCCTTTTGTCGAGATACGACGAAACATATTCCAATCTTCCCATCGACTCTGGCATTTCCTCGGGACATCTCTTTCATCATTGATAGCGTATTTAATCCTTTTCTCCTCTTAATCTTATCTTATTTCCAAACTCGTAGCTCATCCTATTCCCTTCCTCTTTTTTTAATCTTGCTTTTTCGCTTACAATAACAATCCCCGTATGTCCTTTAGACGCATTGTCAAGATGATCAACAGAAATTACATTTTTTTTTTTTTATTTTCTGTTAGTACTCACAGTTTAAAATGATTTACTAATTACATGGAATATTTACTGAAGGGTAGAGCCATTACAGTCAAGCTTTTCATCTTTGGGTCCAATTAAAGCTTCATCTCAAACGGTTTGGCTGTAGAAATGGTAAGAAAAAAAGAGACTATTTTTTCGACAGAATATCATATTCCTCTTTTATCTTCATCTCTCATTTCCATAAGCCATTTCGTTGAGTTTCTTTCGAATACCCTTATAGACTACTCCTTATCTCGAGATATTTTTTCTCTCCTGCTTTGCATACCTTTGCCCCTCTCCTCCTTCGCTTCCAAACCCTTTTACTTCATTCCTTACACTTTTGTGTTTTTTCCTCTTTCCCTCCCCCTTATTCCTCCACCCCATCCCTACAACACTCGCTCTGTCCTTCTTTTGTCTCTTCACCTTTACTTTTCACGTTTTGGAAATTGCATTTTCCCTCCAATTTGAGAAAGTGGATTTTTATTATTTTCCACCAAAATGCATTTAATTACCTCCTCGAAGCGTATAAAGGAGTAGCCAATGAATGGATGGTGGACTGGGGGTTGGGGAGGGTAGGAAAATCAAGCCGATAATTTGTCTCGAGTATAAAAGTTTGCCAACTGTGTTCAATATGTTCAATATAGGAAGTAGGGATGTATACACTTGTATACACTGTTGGTAGGGACTAAAACTCATCGAATCGGAACTTTTCGACAATGGCTCAAAAGCAGATAATCGACTATTCGACGATCCACCGAAGCGACGGCAGCAACGGGACTCTTTTTTTGTTCAACTTCTTCATTTTATTTGTCCATTTTGTAACTATTCTCATACTTCCTTCCCCTCACCCACCCAGTTTCCACTCGTTTTCCGATCGTTTCGTTTCCATGAGTTTTTTCAATCGTATTTTCGTGCAATTGTTTCATTTTCACGGTAAATTATTTTCATGAAATTGCGATGTTTCAAC